CTTCTTTATCCATTCATCAGTCGATGGACATTTGGGCTGCTTCCCTAATTGGCTGTTATCAATAGCGCTACTGTAAACATTGGGGTGCATGTATTCCTTTGAATTAGTGTTTTTGTAAAGAATGTTATGTGCTTTGGGGTGGGGAATATCTTTATGTGTATCATACTAACGAGAAATATAAATGATTAGGAGCTTTGCCTACATAAACACAAAAAACTTTTGTTATCAGCATTAAAAACAAAACTGTAAACGCTAAAATGAGAAGGCACCGTAACGTGGAGGAGCTCCCCTGCACAGAGCTCATGAACCAGTCTTCTAAGTGCCGGGACAGGAAACTGGACACGGAGTCAGGCAAGGCTTGGAAGAAAACAAAGGAAGAATAACTGGAAGAGAAAGGGCGCAAAGCTGACGTGGGTGCTCGCGTTGCCCGGGGCTCTTCTCTACCAGCCTCCATGCGGTCCCAGGCGGAGGCAACGACAAAGATGTCAGCAAGGTTAGGGGCAGTCACCGAGTTCTCGAGGCCTTTTCAGCTCAGAGTGTAACTACTTCCTGGAGTCCGAGGCCTGGTCGGGCTCCTCCTCCTCTCCCATCCCTCATTACAGGGGGGCTTCTCCTCCTCTGTCCCCCTTTCCATTGAGACCCTCATCCTTCCCCCCATTTCTGAAGCCTCCCAGCTGGTCTCCCTCCTGTCTCTTCCCTCCTAATCCAGCTCCTGGACTCGAGTTAGGGTGTAACCTGTCCTTCAGTGACTCAAAAACCTCACAGCCTCTGGCAGGATTTGCAAAGCTGTCTGGTCTCTTTAGTATACACTTCTAGCCTCATCTCTGGTCATTAATCATCTTCCCCTGACCAGCTCTGCTCTAGCTCTGCTCAGCTACGCTTTCCATAAATATGGGAAGCTGTCCCCTGCCAGGCCTTCACGGCCTCACCACAGTTCATGGCCACCGGGGGTCGAGCACGTGTCCACATTAGCAAGTGCTTGATTACAGCCCTGCCTGGCCTCCAAACTGCACATTAACAACCGAGAACATGTCTTACTCAGCCACAAATCGCCATCACCTAAAATTACCAGGAACATGGTAAATAGGAACAGAAATGAACCTACTTTCCTATTTATTTCACAATGTGGAATATTTTTGCACTGCTAAAACAAATACTTTCATGGAGCTTTCAAAGTGCTAGACTTCAGAACTTTGAGTCTCGCTTATTTTCTGATTAAGAAAAACACCAGAAGTCAACTTATAGAGAGGACACATTTTCCCTCACGATTTATTTTTAAAAACATGATTTGTAACTGACCCAAATGGGATAAACTCAATTATTTTAAACCTTTAGCTCACTGGTTTTCTACTTATTCCTATCAAGATGCCCTGCATTGGTCGTGCCCGTGAGAGAGAGCCCATGTTCAGGTGAGGGTTGCTATGCTACATTCGGGATGCATCAGGCAACGCGCTGGAAACCAGAAAGTCCTAAGGCCAAAGCTAAAAATATGGCAGAGCAGAGGGAGAGAGGGGGCTGGGTGAGATCCTTGATGCAGGGAAAAATCAGTAAGGGCGGCCCCCACCTTGCCCCCATCTTTTACTTTTCCCCCAGCATGAAATTACTTCGACAAAAGGGTGCATATGTTGAGATTTTTCTGTCGTTAGGATAAAGTTCTGAAAACTTACTCCGGACACAGTGGTAAAATAGGCTAGGCTCTCGTCCCCTACGGCCTCCGCAGTGGTCACAACTATAGGAAGTGTTGGAGGGGTGGTCAGAACACAGAAAACCCCAGAGCTCTACTGCGCTGGATGGAAAAGGGGTGTATTTTAGGGTGCTGGACTGAACTCCAGCCTATCAGGGGCCACCGTTCATTCATCAATACTTATTCGAAGCCTCACATGTGCCCACTTCTGCTCCAGGTACTGAAACATAGCTGCTGAAGCCCCTGCTCTGGAAGTGAGCATTCCAGCGGGGCAGACGGACAGCGAGTGGTCGAGCCAGACGGTGAGCAGGGCTTGGGGACACTCAGCAGGGTGAGGGAGGACTGCGTGGGGGGGCTGCTCCTGCCCCTAACACAGCCCAAGACCCGAGAGAGGACACTCGAACACGAGGGAGGGAGCGGGCTACGCGGCATTCCCAGGGAAGGGTATTCTCAAGGCAGAGGGACTGGCAAGTACAAAGGCCCTGGGGTGGTCTCAGAAACAGCCAGAGCATGAGCAGGGCACACTGGTGGAGAAGGCAGCAGTGGGGCTGACCCCAGTGTGGCCACTGTGGCACTTTGAGCAGAGCAGGGGCAGCGTGGCTGCTGTCCTGAGAACTGAGGGACGGGAAGGAAATGGAGGCAGACCAGTCCCACGGCTGTGGAACTGGCGGCACGGGACTGGGGTAGCAGGGCCCCTGCAGCGCAAAGCGTCTGTGTCCGCACAGCAGGCCACCTAGCTGGGTCTGTGCACGACAGGCCTGAAAGGGTCGATTTACGACGTAAGCTGATCCGTATCAGATTCTGCATTTGCACGCTTGCTGGTGACCCCAACCCCCCCAGCAGTCACTGCGGACATGCAATGATTTGAATGGTCTGATGTGCCCGTTCCCAGCTGAGACCAAACGAGGAGCCACTCTGCCTCCAAGTCTCTGCTCTCACACCGTTAAGTATTCTTCTTTAGCTCTATTTTGTGCCGCATTTTTCACATCTTTGTGCTGCTGGCAAGTGTGCTTTCTGAAATGCCCCTACGCAGAGTGCTGAAGCGCTGGCTAGCGTAAGGGTTATGCCTTAGAGGAAATGCACTAGACAAGCTGCATTTAAGTGTGTTACAGCTGCTGGCCCTGAGCTCAAGATAAAGGAGTCACCAATATGGATTAAGAGGTCTTTAAACAGAAACACGTAAAACAAAGTTCTGTATCGATTGGTTGATGACAGTGTTGTGGCCAGAGACTCACAGGCACCTACCGTGGGATTTCCTCAGGAGCCTCGGTTCATTACTTGCTAACTCAGTGCCCATAATGAAATTCTAGAACAAAGCTACTATGAATAATGGCAACCAACTATATAAATTAGAGTAAAAGGAAACCTATGGGCGCCTGGGGGGTTCAGTTGGTCAGGCATCGATTCCATTTCAGCTCAGGTCATCTTCTCCTGTTTCATGGGACGGAGCCCCACAACGGGCTCAGCGCTGACCACACGGAGCCTGCTTGGGATTCTCTGTTCCTCTCTCTGCTCCTCCCCCACTCGCACATGATCTCTAAAAACAAAAAAGGAAATTTAGACTTAAAAAGCACCATGTTGGGACACCTGGGTGGCTCAGTCGGTTAAGTGCCGACTTCGGCTCAGGTCATGACTTCGCAGTTCGTGAGTTTGAGGCCCGCGCCAGGCTCTGTGCTGACAGCTCAGAGCCTGGAGCCTGCTTCAGATTCTGTGTCTCCCTCTCTCTGCCCCTTTCCTTCTCATGCTCTGTTTCGGTCTCTCTCTAATATAAATAAACATAAAAAAAGAAAATGTACCATGTTGGGGCACCTGGGTGGCTCAGTCAGTTTGCCCAACTCTTGGTTTCTATTCAGGTCATAATCTTATGGTTCATGAGTGCAAGCCCTGGATTGGGCTCTCTGCTGACAGTGGAGTCTGCTTTGGATCCTCGGTCTCCCTCTCTGCCCCTCCTCCACTCATATTGTCTTTCAAAATAATAAACATTATAAAACACACACACACACACACACACACACACACAAAGGGGGGGTTGAAGAAAATACCTTAGCACACGAGGTTAGCATGCACAGAACACCCTGATATGGCTTAACATCCTTAAGAGCACTTGGGAGAGATGAGGCTGAGTCTACATCTGATTGGCGACAGGCGAGATGGGGAAGCAATGGCTCGGTGCGCTGGTTCTCATTCCCGGCAGAAGCCCCAGGGGATGGGGTATGTAAAGAACTGCTATCAGGGTCCCACCCAGAGGCTGGTTCCATGGATATGGAGTACAGCCTGGGCACAGCAGACAGAAAAGCTCTCCCAGTGATTCTCAAACTTTAGTACACGCAGAAACACACACAGTTGGTTAAAACTGACTCCTGGGCTCTATTCTAAGATTTTTACTCAGTAGACCTGGGATGGGATGCCAGGATTTGGCATTTCTAGGCAATTCCCAGGTGGTGCTGACACGGTCCACACACGGACATTTTACACAGCACTGCCCTATAGCTCTTCCGTCAGAGGACTTTATCATTAATGACAGCAAAACTCGGCAATGAGAATCCCTTCTGTCAAATCTCAACTGTTCTCTTCGGTTTCACTTTTCCTCTGCGGCCTTAATTTCTCCTGCACAAGCCTCCCATACGGCTTGGACAGCCTGCCTGCTGCAGGGTCCTGGGTGTCCCCTTCTCACGCGTGCACACCAACCTGGCCCCAGGCTCCTCCTCAGCCCCACCCCCGGGGAGGAGGCAGGGTCCAGCAGGAGCCTGGCGCCCCCTCTGTGAACGGAGGGCTGACGGACAGGCCTGCTGAGCACCTGGAGTGGCAAAAAGCCAGAGCGCAAACCTCGTAGATAAGAGGAAGGGTGAACTGAACATCGTGTATCTCAGGGGCACAGGAGCGAGGTCTGAACGGGACACACACGGGCTTCACAGGTGCGCTTTCTGAAGCTGCTCAGTAGGAACCCAGGGTTTCCTTTAATTATGCCTTTCATACTTCATTAACTATTTATGCTTGTGTGAGTGCGCAAGCCCAGGATGACTACCCATCACAGCACAGGCTGGCAACTGCAAGGGAGGAAGGTGACTCTTGCATCACTGGATCTTACTCCGTCGGAGGCCAAGAGCAGACGGTTCTACTCTGCTGAAGTCGGGCTGCAGGCTCTGCAAACAGCAGGGGACGGCTAAGGAAACCCCGAGTGCGCGGTCCCTCCTTGCCCCTATGGACTCTACAGGCTGTCACGTGTGCATCTCACTAGAAGCACCTGCACGAGCCACCGCGGTACACCCCACTCACAATCCCTGGCCCTTCCGCGTTTACTGCTACAGAGAATTTCTTCCTTCACCATTTCCAGCCTTTTCAAGTTTTATTCCCCAAAACAAGGGCGGAGGGGTTGGGGCGTCCATGAAGAGTAGGCGTCAATACAAGACTCAAGCGGACAGACAGCTGGTGCCGTCCTGGTCTCCCGCACACAAGCCGGCGCGAGTCAGAGCTTTCCCAGGGTGGGAAGGGCAGCACGACACTGAAACAGCCCCAGGTGAGTGACGAAACCCACGGTCCTTCCTTCTATTTATCCTTTTCTTTCTGTTCTTTTTCTTTCTTCTCGCGCTCAGCTTTCGCTTCTTCTTCTTCGTGGTTTTTGATCAACTGCTCCACCTCTTTCTGTTTGAGGACTCTGATGACTGTCTTCCCGTTCTCTCTTGTTAGGGTGGCAATTTCCACTAGAAGTGAGCACACGCGCTTGTGTTACAGGCGGGTACACTCGGCAAACACACTCAGCAGGCCCAGCTCTTCCCTGGAGCCGAGGCTCCCCACTCTCCATGCTGTTTGCTGCGCACGATTCGCAGCTACTCTGACAGCAAAAAATACCTTCCGTCTTACAAAGCTCCTACCAACACCTTTACTGAAGTGTCTCCCCCTGGCCTGCCCCTAGCGTGACAACCAGACGGAACTTGTGGAGGAGCAGCCAGAATCTCTAACCAGCAACCACACTCATGTTTCATGTCAAAACTAAGACATGAAATGCAGCTTCCATGACCACAGATAAGAAAAGTAAACTGATACCAAAGAAGGCATTTTTTGAGCAGAGGAAATAGAGTGCTACCTCCTTGAAATTACACAGAAGTAGACAAAAAGGGGACAGTCTGCAAGTAAACTGCATATTCTAAGGAACAGCAGGAGCTCAATTATACTCAGCAGAATCTACACATTAATTTACCATAGTTTTTGAAAAACATTATTTAGAAACAGTTTTAGATGATTACATAATTTAAACTGAATAAAGTATTTAAAATTGCAAACGTGGCATCACGTGAGAGATCAGGAGACTCAAAAGAGCACAGGATACCACAACTCCTGCAAATGTCTTCCCTCGGATAAAGCTTAAGATAAATATGTAGCACAAAATCACATGCATGTTCTTTATCATATGTACACACACAGATACCATCATCAAGAAGCTGATAAGACAATTATTAACTAAGAGTAGCACAACTCAGATCTCCAACTATGAACACTGAGAACATACAGGCTCAAGTCCTTAGGCTCACAATGTACTGTGGGACTAAGGCCCCACAACTTACCGGTGTCGACCTTGCTCAAGTCACTTAACTTCACTAAGCCCTAGTGTCCTCACCTAGGACAAAGGTATAAAGCCACCCAATTCAAGGTTGCGGCTTCAATGAACTCTGACAAGGTGGCCCGCTCAATTGCTTCTCTCACACAAGTGAACCAATCAGAGGGGTGGGCATCCATTACCTTTTTCAGCAGAGAGTTTACTCACATCCATGGTCTTATTTAGGACTTTGATAGCTAAAGCAAGTGCTGACTTCAAAGTCATTTCTCCTTCTTTGTAGTCTTGTTTTAACATTGACACAGCTGCCTATAAAACATAAAGGAGAATCAACAAAAAATTTTCTTTAAATTTTTTTTAAAGTTTATTTTTGAGAGCAAAATAGAGACAGCATGAGCAGGGGAGAGTCAGAGAGGGAGGGAGACACAGAATCTGAAGCGGCTCCAGGCTCTGAGCTGTCAGCACAGAGCCTGACGTGGGGCTCGAACCCACGAACCGTGAGATCATGACCTGAGCCGAAGCTGGATGCTTAACCGACTGAGCCACCCAGGCGCCCCATAAATTCTTGCATTTTTTAGGAATATGGATTGGTCAGAATACTAACGGCTGAACTATTACGGGCATTATAACCAACACAGACAACCTCAGAGGCAGGGAGGGCCAACCTGGAACAAGAGAAGGGGCTGTTGATGCTCTCTGAAGCGGGGTCTTTAACCAGAACTCCCTGGACTTCCAAGGGACTTGTGAGAGAATTCAAAGGGTCTGAGAACCAGGATGTGAAAAAAATTACATCTTATTTTCACAACCTCTAACTGAAAATGAGCATTTCCAGGCATCTGGGTGGCTCAGTTGGTTAAGCGTCTGATTCCCGATTTTGATTCGGGTCTTGATCTCACAATCTGAGACGGAGCCCCACGCCGGGCTCCTTGCTGACAGCACAGACCCTACTTGGGGTTCTCTCTCCTCGCCTCCCTATCTGTGCTTCCCCCATGTGTGCTCTCTCTCTCTCTCAAAATAAATAAATATACTTAAGAAAGAAAACTACCATTTCCTTTCATTATAAACGTAGACAATAAGTCCCGTAGTATTAGTAGTACCTGTGACTTCGTTACCAATAGAAATTGAAGGTATTTTCCTATCATATTAAGGTTGTGACAGCTATTTTAAAATAGATTATATCACTGCTACTTCAAAATTATGGTGGTTATTAGATCATCTGCTAGACTTTACAGCAACACAAAAATACTCACAGCACTGTTATTTCCAATGCACGTGGCTTTCCATCCTCCGTAATTCCCACTGGGGTCACTCTGGTAGAGCTGAAAGCCATAGTGCTTATCCCAGCCGATGTAAAGCAAGGACACACCAAAGGGACGTTTTCCTTGAAGAGCACCAACAAAGAGCATCTAGATCAGTATCACTGCTGCTACCTGAGCCCAGGGAATGGGCCTAGGCCCTGCTCTGGGAAGTAAGGCGTTCATCAACTGCTTTGTGTTCTGAACACCACAGATAAGCTCCATCCAAAATTCCACTTTTGTTGCCAGGACTTGGACGCAGCCAAGAAAGGGAATAAAGACACAGAGGACCAGTGCTGAATTTCATTATTACGTAAAAAGCAATTTGTTTCCAGATTTGAAAGTGGCATTATAGCCTTCCAATGGTCTATTAATAAAACATATAACAATCTACATAGTGAAAACCAATTAGTTCATGAAGCAGGGATGTATTATGAAAAAGGTTTTATTTCACTTTCAATTTCTTTTTACTATCTCAAAAAGGCCATTACTCATAAAATGGTTAACTTTTTGGAATACAACTTTGAAAAATTTCAGTACCTCCAAACTGTGTATAAGCTTGTTTGATGTCACACAGTGCTGTGACCAGCTGCTCACAAGGAATGGGCTCCTGATACTGTAACAAGTACCTAGGGTAAAGAAATTGGCAAGTTAACAGTTTTCCCTAAAACAAAGATGCCCTCTAAGCAAAATACCCTCTGGAAAGAAATCTGTGCCACAAGGACATTAACAGTCACATGGAATCTGAAGCGGGGAGGAGAGCAGGACAGCATCCTCATATCCTTAAAGCACGTAACTTTTTACACCTTTGCTTTAAAAATTTTGTGATGTTCAATTAATAGATTTTTTTTAAAGACTTTGATCTTTGCAAACATGAATTCTCCTTAGAAACATCGAGACTAATTTACATACCATCAATTACGCTACTTATGACCATACCTCTGTGCAATGAGCCTCAGTTCATTAGTCAGAACATTAGCGTCAGAAGTTATGCCTGCCACACTGCAAGCCATGTCCCTTGAAGAAAAGAAAGACATTGATGTGTGAGCAGGGAAATGTCTGGGAGGGGTATTTACAAGTACTGAGAAGTAGAAGTTCTATTAGAAATTCACCATGCTAGCTGCACGGCCACTATACCCTCAAACAAAAACCGCATACGTTTCATCTTTATAAATTCTCAACATGTTGTGTCATTCAACATAAAAAATAAGTACACCCTTAAAGTTTTCTACAGATGTAGTTTACCATCACCACTCCGTGAACAGGGCAAGAGAGTAACACTAAGAACCCAGAGTAAATCCCAAGAAGACGCATCCACAAACACAACAAAGGTTTGTCCAGACAGAAGACAGGCTATTGAACCTCCTAGGCCTGGCTTGATGGAGGTGTAGGTGAGGGGACCCGCGGGAAGGGAAGCCTAGGAAACCCAGAGCTATGCCCACACTGGGGGTGCACTTCCTTTCTCTGTCCCCATTCCCTGAGGTCTGCCTTGACTTTCCTACACCCTCGGTCATGCCGGGCAAACCTGCAGACAGTGACTCTGTGAAGGGAGAACACTCCTTCGATGAGCATATCAGAAAGGCCTGGCACCAGCGATCACCTGGCCCATTAGTGAAGGGAGGGTCTGTTCTCTGCCAACTGGAAACCCTGCACACCCAAGTGTACCGGAAACTCACTAAGTGTACAGGGCTTGGCTAAACTGTTCCCAGACCTCCAGGAGGGCTGACGTTTGGTAAGAGTCTTGTGATTCAGTCATTCTGAACGCTTTGAGGGTCTGCTGTAAGCCAGACACTCTGCTAGTTTGCTTAGATTTAAATTATTCACTCGACTGTCATAACCACTGTAGTGGGCTGAGACCCAGAAAAGTTAAACATCAGTGCAGGGTCACACAGCTTTTAATTTAACCCAAATTTGGGGTGCATGGGTGGCTCAGTTGGTTAAGTGTCCAACTTCGGCTCATGATCTCACTGTTTGTGGGTTCAAGCCCCACATCAGGCTCTGTGCTGACAGCCTGGAGCCTGCTTCGGATTCTATGTCTCCCTCTCCTCTCTCTGCCCTTTCCCCACTCTCACTGTCTCTCTCTCTCTCAAGTAAACAAACGTTAAAAAAAAAAGAATAAATAAATTAACCAATTAACCCAATCTGTGTAACTACCCAGCCTGTGCTCTTAATCACTGTACAATGTGGTTTCTCCACTAAGGGCTTGGCCCTGCATTTAAAAAGAATACCACAGTGCTTGCTTCGGCAGCACATATACTAAAACTGGAACGATACAGAGACACGCAAATTCGTGAAGCGTTCCATATTTTTCGAAACGGGCACCCTCCTACACTGTTGGTGGAAATGTAAACTGGTACAGCCCCTCTGGAAAACAGTGTGGAGGTTCCTCAGGAAACTAACACTAGAACTCCCCTATGACCCAGCAATAACACCGCTAGGAATTTACCCAAGGGATATAGGAGTGCTGATGCGTAGGAGCACATGTACCCCAATGTTCATAGCAGCACTCTCCACAATAGCCAAAACATGGAAATGGCCTAAGTGTCCATCAGCTGATGAATGGATCAAGAAGATGTGGTTTATCTATACCATGGAATACTACATGGCGATGAAAAACAATGAAATCTGGCCATCTGTAGCAACATGGATAGACCTTGAGGGTGTTATGCTGAGCGAAATAAGTCAGACAGAGAAGGACAAATATCATATGTTTGCACATATAGGAGGATTAGGAAGAACTTAACGGAGGACCGTGGGGGAGAAGAAGGGGAGAAATGGTGGGGGAAAGGGAGAGAGGCAAACCATGAAAGACTCTTGAATGCTGACAAAAACTGAGGACTGATGGATGTGGGGGGGAGGAGGGATGGGCATGGAGGAGGGCACTTGTGGAGATGAGCGCTGAGTGTTATGTGGAAACTAATTTGACAATAAACTATTTGTAAAAAAAAAAAAATAAATAATAGTAATAATAAATTGTCTCAGGGTTTCAGAGCTAGAATGCTGAATTTAGAAGCAGAAAAATCAATTCTTCTCCCCTAAGGTCATTCAATCTTGGGTGCATTAGGAGATGTTCAAAAGATTTTTCATGGAGATGAATCTGGGGAAGGTTTTTAATGGGAGAATTTTAATTTTGTTCTTGGCCACTTTACGCAGTTGCAAATGAACGAACTATTTACTTCTAATTAAATAAAACGATAAACTCTTCTGCAAAAAAAAAAAAAGAATACCACAACACCCTGGTCCCCAAGGTGGTTTTAAACAAGGTAAGTCAAAAGCAAAAATCCTCAAAGGTGAAAACAAACTGTTCAATTTTACGTCACATGGAACAGCCTCCCAAAATATGTGCAATGTCATTTATGTGATAAAGAGAGACATTTTACATTCCCTTCCCAAAGATCGCACTCACTCATTCAGTTTGTAAATTTTTTCAGAGAAAAAGACTTCGTCCAGGAGCTTGTGGATGTTGCGCCTCTCGGCGGCAAGGAGAACACCATCGTTGGCTAAAATTCCCAAGCAGGTGCCTGCATGTCCAATAGCTTCCATGGCATACTCAACCTGGTACAAGCGACCTACGAGACACAGGCAGTGAGCAGCGGAGCAACCCCGGCAGCTGCACACTAGAGCCCTGCCGTGACCCCTCCACGAGGCACGGAGCTCACTTGGTGACCATAATCAACCCAAAGCACAGGAAGGACGAACAACTTAGCAACGATTAAAAAAAGGTTTGTAGGGGGGACGCCTGGGTGGCTAAGTCGGCTCAGGTCATGATCTCACAGTTCGTGGGTTCGAGCCCCACAACACGCTCTGTGCTGACAGCTCAGAGCCTGGAGCCTGCTTCGGATTCTGTGTCTCCCTCTCTCTCTGACCCTCCCCTGCTCACACTCTCTCTCTCAGAAATAAATAAAAACATTAAAAAAAAAAAAAAAAGAAAAAGTTTGTAGGGGCACCTGGCTGGCTCAGTCAGAAGAGCATGAGACTCCTGATCTCAGGGTGGTGGGTTCGCGCCCCACATGTAGGGGCTTTTACAGCCCCTACTTCCCCTACTGTAGAAATTACTTAAATAATAAAATTAAAAAAAAAACCCAATAGTCTGTAGATTTTTTTTCTCTCCTTTAGGTCAAACTCTTTAAAGACATTTTTTTATTTGAGATAGATTTCCATTTTACCTTCCGGAGAGAATATAGTGGTCCGGGAGTCATATCTTCGAGACTGCAAAGGAAAAACATACAACTGACTCCTACCGGCCAAAAGTAAGCCAATCCCTGCAAGCCCACAAATCATCTTTATGGAACGGATGCTGGCAGGCAAAGCTCAGCGATGGGAAGAAAGTGAGAAGGAAGAAGACACCACTCCAGCAATTTTTCCTTCCATTCCAGTTTTCTCATACAAGTCTACAGGTGCAAGCAGCAGGGTTTATCAGGCAACAGCTTACTGGCTTGTGTATTGACTCACCATGTTTTCTGAACTTTGTAAAATTCCTGTAAAAAAAAAAAGTAAGATCATTATTAAAAATGAAGTTTACAATTTGAAGAGCACTTCGTGACTTAAAAAAAAAATCTGCTTTGTTCACTCCCTCCCGTCATCTAACATTTTCAGTGTACCGGGCACCATGCTAGATGCATACCAAATTCTGGAATATCAAAGAGGGCGAAACCAATCCCTTTCCTGAAGAGCTTACAGTCTGGTATTCAGGTGAGGGAAGCAAACAAACAACTATAAGGCAATGTGGAAACAGGTGCTGAGGGCAGAGTGGGAAGTAGGATGGGGAAAAAAATCAAGAAAGCATTCTTTGAGAAACAAATACAAAAAATGAACCCAAATTAGACAGACATGGGAGGCAGAAATAAGGCTGTGAACCATGAGGCCTAAAAGAAGACTAAGGGAAGGGGGAAGGGAAAGGCAGTCCCAGCAGAGAAGAAAGTCTGCTCAAAGGGGACCCAGGTAGGACAGCTCCACGGGCAAGAGACAACTTGCTAAAGTTAAAAGGATCTGAAGAAGCTAGAGAGCTAAGTACACAGACGCACGCAGAGCCTTGAACGCCAAGGTAGGAGGCTGAGGCTTTCTCCAGTGAGAGTTCCAACTTAGGAGGTGGGGGCGGTAACCTCAGGTTCTCCACCACTATTCCTGCACAAGTAAACACTGACGCCCGGCGTGACACAGGGGAAGCGCCAAACTTCAGATTACAGAGCTCATTTTCCTAAATCCCGGAATAATGGGACTCGAGACGGCAAAATATGCTGGGCTCGAGTCCTGAAGGGTCCACGGGCCCGAGTAAACACTGTGAATTTTATCTCCCAAGCAATGGGCTCCCCTCAAAGACCGGGCTGACGAGCCACAGGCGCCGACTGGCACTTACAAGTATCGCGGTGGCCGAGCGACTGAGGGAAGGCGACCCGTTACGAGGCTGAGACAACAGCAGGTGAACGGGAAGGACGGCCCTGCGCACGGCCGTGCGGCGCGACTGCGACCCCGGCCCCGCCGTGCGCACTAGATCCAAGCGTGGACCCCAGCAGGGCCCCCCGCCCCCCGCCCCCGGCCGGACGCGCGCCCCCCGCCCCCGAGTCCCACGGCCGCCCGGACGCGCGCCCCCGCCCCCGAGCCCCCGCCCCCCGCCCCCCGCCGAGGAGGCGGCTGCCGAGTCACCGCACCAGGGCGCCGCGGGGCCGGCTGCAGGCCGAGCCCGCTCCGCCGCGCCGCTCACGCCCCCTGCCGCAGGGAGGGCGGCCAAGCCTCCGCGGACAAGGCCTCCCCCAGGTGCAAGGGCTCCCCGGAGGGACACTCGGGAGACCTACAAGGAGACTTTCCGCGCGGGACCACAGCCGCCACCGCCACCGCCAGTCCCGAGCGCCCGCTGCCAATATGGCGCCCGCGCGTGCGCAGAGCGCTCCCGAGACCCGGAAGTCCCGGCTGCGGGGCGGGCGCTGACGGCGGGGGCGGGAGCGGGTCCCTGCGCGGGGGGCGCGGCCGTGCGGGGCGCCGGGGCCCGGGCCGGAGGGCGGGGCGGTCCTGGCCGAGGAGGAAGCGAGGTCGGTGCCCTGTTTGCAAAGACAGGCTTCCGGCCCCACGAGGTCCGCCGCAGGCCTGGGACCCGCGCTGAACGGCGCCGGGCGCGCCTCGCGGGCGGCCGCGCACCCTCGGGGCGGAGAGGTCGCGGGGCGGGGGGGAGGGCCCTCGCGTCCTGCCGGCTTCCTCGGTCTCTGTGACTCCTGCTGGTTCCCTAACAGCGTGCTGGGAAAACACTGGCCGTTTTGCTTTTAAGGTCACAATCGCAGTTGTGCGACCTCTTACTTGCTCAACTACCTCTGCCCTGATCCACATGGTGCCAAGCTCGTGAGACGCGACCCCGCGTCTTACTTCCCGAATCTGTCTCTTACTGCTGGACACACAGCACGTTCTGATAGGGTTCACACCTTCGGGTGGACTTTACTTTGGTCTCTTCGGCCTTTTTCCTCGTCGGAAAGGACCCCCCGGGCCACCCTAGTTAAGGCAATACCTACCATCAACACGCACAGCGTTTATCTTTACTGACATTGTCCTGATGATGTGCTCATTATCCACCTTTTCCCCAACCAGCTTCAGTCGCTCTGCAAACCAGCACTTCGTGTTTTAAGTTTCTTTGGGTTGCAGGGTTAACCAGACTGGGTTAGCATGTCGTCATGTGCTCATAGTCTCCTCCAGGAAGAGGCCCAGAGGGAAGCGATTTTGTCCTCTTGACGTTGGGTGGAGAATTTTTACTGGGGGATCTGGACTTTGAAGAGGAGGCAGCCTGGGAACGAGTTGTGTTTTGAGGCCTTTCCTGTCATTTCGGCTTCCTGGGCACCAAGGACAGGAGCCAGAATGGCAGAAGGCTCCACTCAGCCGGGCGGTGTTCTGAGGCACCCTCAGGTGGATGTTAACTGTAACTCAGAACCACCGAGGATCCCTGATCTAGATCCCTAGACTGTTAGCTAAGAGTTTCAAGTGAGAAGCAGAATCTCAGGCCAACAGAAGACGGATCGGTTGAAATAAAAAGGCAGAAGAATGAGTTTGACAAGTTTGGGATTGAGTAGTTCAGTCTGGCCAGAATGAAGGAGACAAAAAAGGAAGTAAAGCCGGAAAGGCATCTGAGGTCAATTTGTAAGAGGCCTTCGATGCCAGAATTATTTTTGTCCATAAGAGGGAGGATCAAAGTGATGTTTTAGGATGATGAGGCCTCATTCTCCCAGCCCACATGTTCCTCTCACAGTGTGTGTGTGTGTGTGTGTGTGTGTGCGTGTGCGCGCGCGTGCACGTGCTGTGGGTGCTCCCCATTCAGAAGCCCTGTGTCTCCTTGCCTTGAATCTGGGTGGGCCTGTGACTGACAGTGGTCGGTCATAAAAGATGGCATGTTTCTGCCTTGTCCTCTTGGGATGGTCATTCTTAGACTGTGGAGAGGTATTCTGCCATAGGCGAGACAAGTTCCCAGCATCACCTGCCAGATACGTGAGTGAAGATTGCTCCAGAAAGTTTTAGTCCCCATTGAATGTCCCCCAACCATCAAACCTCCCTCAGTGCTCAGGTCTTCCTAGCTGAGGCCCGAGGATTTGTGGAGCAGAAACCAGCCATCTCAGCACCTGAATTTATACCTGGATAATCCATGAGACAATAAAATGATTGAGGTTTAAGCCACTCAGTCTTTGGTTAAACTGTCACACAGCAGTATATGTAGCTAGAATTGTTATCTGCCTCCAGGAGGGCAGGTGTAGGTTGGAGAGTTTAAGGGTAAGAATAGCAGAAAGTAGGGTTCTTTTGCAGTGTGAGAGGATAGGAGCCTGGACAGAAAAAGACACTCGCAAAAGCATAACCTCTGCCGTGCGTGTGGTATTGATCCCCAAATCTAAAAACGGGTTTTCTCCTCATTGGTTGAAAGGACCAGAGACTGGCACTTGTAAAATGCATTCATTCCAGCAGTTTATTAAGAGTGTGCTCCGAGAGTGCAATCCAAGATTCAGTTCATTTTTCTGAATGTTAAGCTTGATTAAAAAAAAAAATGTGGGGGGAGCGCCAGACTGGCTCAGTCAGTTTGATCTCAGGGTCTTAAGCTCAGGCCTCACTTTGGGGGCAGAGATTACTTAAAAAACTACAATGCCTTAAATTTGGGAAGCATACGTGCTTTCACGTAAGTGATCTCATCTGATCCCAACACGGTCATGTTCACGCGCACATGCCCGCATGGTGGGTAGGAGGAGAGGGCTGGGGCCCTGGTCCTGGCTCTCTCTGAGCAAATCTCTCATCTCAAAATGGGGATTAGGGGGTCCCTGGGTGGCTCAGTCGGTTAAGCGCTGACTTCTGCTCAGGTCATGATCTCACAGTTCATGAGTTTGAGCCCCGCGTCAGGCTCTGTGCTGACAGCTAGGAGCCTGGAGCCTGCTTTGGATTCTGTGTCTCCTCCTCTCTCTGACCCTCCCCTGCTCATGCTTTGTCTCTCTCTCTCTCTCTCTCTCTCAAATATAAACATTTTTAAAAATTTTTAATGGGGATTAATCATAGCACTGCTTCTCTCATGGGTTTGTTATGGAGAGAAAATGAGATAATGCATGTAAAATAATGTGATATAATAAGAAATACAGGATTAGTCTTCGTCCAGGTTCTGGCACAAAGCTTCTAGAACCCTTGTAGTCTCCGGAATGTCAAGGGATAAACCGCTATCAACTACATCTGAATTTCTACTAACGGTGTGGCTCCAGAGGCAGAGAGGTGGCGGCTACTCATACAGACAGAAAGGGACAGCTACTGAAAGGCGGTTTGCAAGGCCAGGGTTGTAGACTTATCTTAGAGAATGGATAGTTAAACCCACAAGAATGAGTAGCCACCTAATAAACCATAGTGAGGGGGACGTGCAGAGAAATCAGTGAAGGAGACGGCGGTATAATTAACAGCAAGTATACAGTGAGCCACTGCTCACCAACATCGCATATTCACATGTAAAGGGCCGTAAATGAGAGATTTTTGAAATCTCTGCTTAGAGACTTTCTTAGTATCGATCGAAACATAACCGTTATATTTATTTATTTATTTTTTTAATTTTTTAATGTTTTTATTTATTTCTAGGAGAGAGAGAGAGAGAGACAGCGTGAGCAGGGGAGGGTCAGAGAGAGAGGGAGTCACAGACCGAAACAGGCTCCAGGCTCTGAGCTGGCAGTCAGCACAGAGCCCGACGCGGGGCCCGAACCCACGAACCGCGAGATCACGACCTAAGCGAAAGTCGGACGCTTAACCGACTAAGCCACCCAGGCGCCCCATAACCGTTATATTTAGGTGCCTCAGGAATAGTGGCCTTGCCTGGGTGTCTCTACTTGCCTCCTCGCAGATCCAGTATCGTCCGGCATCCATCTCGAGAGTTCATTTCGATCGTCCTCTCAAATGCAGACTTTTTCTTCAGAACATCATTTGTGTTTCCTCCTAAGGCATCTTAGTTCTGCCTTATCTTCTCCAACCTTTCTTTTAGCACACATTAATTTGTAAATATTTTTTGAAACCATGGGGAAAGTACTGTATCAGGTGCAAAAGGAAAAAAAGGGAAGAGAGACAAAAAAAATAATTTTACGTAGTCTTTGTCCTCAAACAGCCGTTAGGCCACATGACCACATAGCCAACATCCGTGATACCATGACGTGCCGTGAGAAAGACGGAGTACAGTGGGTTCTAGAGAAACGGAGTGATGGGAGCAGGCTTCGCAGAATGGGTGATATGTTAGTTAGGTCTGTGTTACACTCAGTAATTTAATATATGTGAATACGTCTATACATATGTGTTCCTTTCAAAGCCTAAAACAGTAATTGATCTTGGGGCTGGAATACATACTCCTTGAGAAATTTTCTGATTCAAAACATCACTCTGCGTGTTTTATACACGAGGCAAGTGAGACCCACAGAAAGACATGCTTGCTCAGGGGGAGCTTTCTTAGATTTAAAAAGTGGTCATGAGAGTGCTTGGAAGTTTCATGTGTGCTGATCAGGTCCATCAATTCGTTTTTCACTGTGCAGGGGACTCCTTCGTAGAAATAGATTTGGTCCTCCGGGTTTTTAACCATCCAAGTTAATGTGAAATTTCGCCTAGTCACATGGAGATCCCAGAGTCGTAGGACCTGGCAGTTTGAAACCAGATTTCTTCTACAGCTTTCTGGCCCATGTCGAACATCTGCTGCAAGTGCCTCCACCCGGTTTTGGCAGTGATCATGAGGTATTCCTTGTTCTCCGGGTGTAGCTGGCAAGAGTGTGCAGCGATGACGAGCGACTGACAAAAGCGGCCGCACACAAGGAGGAACAGGGCGCCCCTCTCCACAGGTGTCAGCGGGATGACGCTCTCAAACCCGGCAAGGACGTGGCCTCCCACGTGTAGGGGACTCTTGCTCTCAATCATCATGTACATGATGGTGATGGCCACCTCGAACACATAGTAGCCGTAACTCATGTCACCAAAATCTAAAATCCCGGACACTTGATACACGGCACCTCCGGAGGCTGACTTGCTGGCCTCCACTAAAATGTTATGGTCATTCAGGTCTCCATGATTAACACCTGAAAAGAGAAACATTAAGTCACGTGAAAACCGGTATTTAACCCCCAGTTCATTCTATTCCCGCTTCTCCTCTCTGAGGCATGGCCACTCAAGCAATGTGACGATCAGCCAGAGGTAGAGATAAACCCTATTTTCCCTGAAATAAAACAATTTCCTCTAAAAAGGAAAAAAGCAGTTAATTTTGGTGGTTGTACTTGCTTTTGCTTTTGGTCGATACAAGGCCAGACAATGGAGGTTACAGTCCCAGCAAATACCTGGTTCTGACTGTTAGCAGAGTAAGGGGGAGGCGGAACTGCCTCAGCCAGAAATGTCTACGAAGAGTATACGTATATTCGTGTTATTACACGAGGGGTCCAGGGGTGCCTGGCTGGCTCAGTCAGTACTGATGTAACTGCAACTCTTGATCTTGGGGTTGTGAGTTGAAGCTCCACATTGGGTGGAGAGATTAGTTTTTAAAATATTTAAAAAGAAGAAGGAGGGGGAGGAGGAGGAGAAGGAGAAGAAGAGGGAGGAGTAGGGAGAGGAGGGGCAGGGGAGGAGGGAGAGGAGGAGGGGGAGGAGGAGAAGAAGGAGGGGAAGGAAAGGAGAAAGAAAAAGCAGCAGCAGCAGCAGCAGCAGCCACTGCTGCTGCGAGTCCTAAAATGAACTAGATTTGCCTATTTTAACCTAGGATTTCCAAAAATTCTGATGACAGAGGCACCTGGGTGGCTGGGTTGGATAAGAATCTGACTCTTGATTTTGGCTCAGGTCATGATCTCACGGTTCATGTTCCTTCCAGGAATGTGCTGAGTTGCACTTTCCTTCTCCCCAAAATGCTGTGAATGGCCATGTGACTTTTTGGTCACTGACATAGGAACAGAAGTGACATCACTTCAGGGCAGAGATTTAAAGGCCAGCGTACCACTGTACACTTCCTACATTCTCTTTGCCCATACTATAGCAAGAGTACTTGGTGAAAGTTCCATCCAACTAAATCCCAAAGTGAGAATAGTAGAACAGAACTGTAACAATCCATGACAGACCTGCAGCTCCAGTTAGAACTAACCATTTGTTTTTGTAGTCCACAATAATTTGGGGGCTATTTGATACTGCAGCATAACCCTGTGTAGCTGATACACAGTGTGGTATGGGACCAGGCAAGCAGAACAGGGGAATAAAATGGAGCACCAAAACATTTGGTTTATAGCAGAGATGGTACTGCAAAACAAAGAGAGGAAAGATGAGAGAGAGAGAGAGAGAGAGAGAGAGAGAGAAAGGGTGCAAGTGAGCGAGGGGCAGAGAGAGAGGAAGAGAGAATCCTTTGAGGGGCAGAGAGAGAGAGAGAGAGAAGCGGGGCTCACCTGAGGCGGGGCTTGTGTTTACCTGAAGTGGACTTGAGCTCACCCAAAGTGGGGCTCGTGATCATCTGAAACAGGGCTCTTGATCACCTAGTGTGGGGCTTGAGCCCACGAACCATGACATCATGGCTTAAGCAGAAGTCAGAGACTTAACCAACTGAACTGTCCATATGCCCCAGAAAGATGACTTTTTATAAATGTTGGTGGAAAAATTATCAGCCATGAGAAAAATTCACACCATATGTAAATTCCTGATGATTTATAGACCTATTGTGAAAGGCAAAAACTATGACATTTTAGTAAGATCATATAGGAGAATATCTTCATGACTGGCCAGAGAGTAGAGAAAAATTTCTACACAAGACACAAAACACTAACCATAGAGTAAAAGATTGATATATTTGAAACCAACAAATTAAGGACTGTCCATCAAAACACATCATAAAGAGAGTGAAAAGGCAAGCCACAGAATGGGACAAAATATCTGTAACACATATAACCATCGAAGGATTTCTATCCAGAAATCACAGAAAAAAAATCCCAGTAGGAAAACTGGCAAAAGCCTTGAATAGGCACTTCACAAAAGGGTTTATCCAAATGGCCAATAAATAGGGAAATGTATAGTAAAACCACAATAAGAAATCATTACAGCAGTAAAGAAATGGGCAGAAGATATGAACAGACACTTCTCCAAAGAGGACATCCAGATGGCCAACAAACATATGAAACGATGCTTAGCATCCCTACTCATCAGGGAAATACAAATCAAAATGACACTACTGAGATACCACCTCACCAGTCAGAGTGGCTAAAATGAGCAAATCAGAGAACACAAGATGCTGGCAAGGATGTGGAGAAACGGGCACCCTCCTACACTGTTGGTGGGAATGTAAACTGGTGCAGCCCCTCTGGAAAACAGTGTGGAGGTTCCTCAGGAAACTAACAATAGAACTCCCCTAGGCCCAGCAATAGCACTGCTAGGAATTTACCCAAGGGATACAGAAATGCTGAGGCATAGGAGCACATGTACCCCAATGTTCATAGCAGCACTCTCCACAATAGCTAAAACATGGAAAGAGCCTAAGTGTCCATCAACGGATGAATGGATCAAGAAGATGTGGTTTATCTATACCGTGGAATACTACA